AATTAAAACTTGAAGAGTTATTTTCCCTGGACATCAAGTAGCTCAGTATTCATCCCAAGGATAGATGAGTATAACGCTTGACCAATGGTATATACTTGTGTAGAAATGCTTCTAGAATGGGACAGAAACATCCCATTAAATGCTTCCTATTCACACAAAGCAGTCTGTGTAATCAAATATGCCTATGTACCTTTGACTAAATTGGCCCTTTATCTTATCCTCTAGCCCCTCAGGTGAGAGAAACTAGGGAATAGAGATCTATCAGGACCCCTACACCATCACTGGATGACATGTTTGCATAGGACCAGGATCTTCACGTCCTTGTTCCTGAGGCTGTAGATGATGGGGTTGAGCATAGGGGTCACAACACCATAGAAGAGGGAGGTGAGCTTGTCTGAAACATCCTGCTTGTCTGCCCCCAGTGGGGTTCTTGGATTTGGGCTTTCCATATACAAAGAGCAAAGTTCTGTAGAAGATGACCATGAATGTGAGGTAGGCAGAGCAGGTAGAAAAGGCCTTTTTCCTTCTCTGAGCTGGGGGTATCCTCAGGTTGGTAGCAATGATAATCACATAGGAGATGAAAGTGTAGTGAGCTGGACTGCCCAGAAATACCACATTGGCCACTGCCATAGTGTCCACATCCAAAGAAGGAAACCCCCAAAACATTTCCCTGCAATGATACTGCATGGCTCCACTAAGTGTCTAAAGTTTGCTTAAATGGCCACGAGAAGGCATTTGTGTATTTGCAAGAGCAAGGTTTTTCCCTGCTGTTACAAAGTAGAAATTAGTAACAAGACTAACATTAGGATCAGAAATTTTATTAAACAAACACTAATCCTTAGGCAATTCATTCCTAATAAATATAAGAAAATGTAAGTATCACTTGAATCAAAACTTCCAAAATCCATTCTCAAAAAAGTATTCACTTTCTAAATTCTCTTCTTACATAAGTCTGCCATATTCATAGAATTTCATAGAACTTGTCATAAGAATGCTTCTATTCATCTGCTTATACCTCTGAGTCCCTCATTCACCTTGTGTGTTTATTTCTCTATATAGTGATGGTGTCTTACTCTGTTCCACATGGCACACAGCACTGGGCAGCATCCATGATACGACCAAAACTGGTATCTAATAGTTCCATTGTGCTTACCACTTACACCACTCATCTGTAATTAGTAATTTGTGTAAAATCAAGAGGTTAGGTGTAAAACATGAAGAAATAGACCTACATAGTTTAAGCAACCCACCAAAGGTGATAGGTAAGAAAATACTTCTCTGTTTTTATCCTCCTGAGCCATGGAGGCTCAGGAAATGCTACCAAGTTTACATCGCTTGGACATTCACTAATATACTGTAGCATATTAAAGACTTTGAGACCTGGAACAAAGAAATATGTCAAATGTTAGCCCCTGAAGTCTTCAAATATTTTTAGCCTCTGTCTATCTGTCTGTCTATCTATATCTCTAACATCTTTCTTTTTCCAGAATGTGAGATATTATCCAACCAAATACTAGCTTTTCTAGTGGGAATTGCTGTAAGTGATGAGCATCAAATTCAAACTCTGTACTCCTTCTTGCCGTTAACTTCCTAGCGGTGTTTCCTAATGTGAAGTGCATTGAGAAAAAATAGCCTCAATTTTCTCATAGCTAAGAAGAAATGGGGTGTTCCAGAATAGCTTGTTCCCACCCAAAAGCCTTCTAGGTGGAGAACTTGTCTTTGTCTCTTCTTATACTTCAGCCAAACTGTCTTCCAAAAACAGTCCAAAATGAAAATTCCCACTTTCTCCTTGTTCCTGTGACTCTTCCTGGGGATTCCAAGAGGGATGGCAACAGTGCCATTCACCAAGCTCAGTCTGATGGCTGGCTCCTTTCTCCTTGGTTTTATCATGTGTTCAGAATGTCTTTGTGTATTCAATTAGAGATCTGTTGTGTGGCATCTGTCAAAACTCTCAGCTGTGTGGCTAGAACTCAGAAGATATACTCTGAAAAGTTAATCATTCTCTGAAAATGGACAGAAGGGCAAGAGAGGATTCTGGATAACATGACTTGTCTTTTGGATGGCAGCTATAATGATCAGTGGTCTTTTTTCCCATAGGGTAGGAACACAGAGGAAGTCTTCCATCACTGGGTGAAACATTTCTGAGTGACCAAATTCCTCACAGCTGCCTTCACGTCCTTGTTCCTGAGGCTGTAGATGATGGGGTTGAGCATGGGGGTCACCACCCCATAGAAAACGGGGATGAGCTTGTCTGAAAGGTCTTGTTTGTCTGCCCCCAGGGGATCCTTAGACTTGGGCTTCCCGTACATGAAAAATAAGGTCCCATAGAAGATGACCACAACAGTAAAGTGGGCAGAGCATGTGGAGAAAGCCTTTCTCCTCCCCTCAGCTGAGGGGATCCTCAGGATGGTAACAATGATAAACACATAAGAGATGGAGATGAACAGAACTGGGACCCCCAGGAAGATCACATTGGTCACCCCCATGCTGATCACATTGATGGAGATGTCAGCACAGGCCAACTTCAGGACAGCCAAGATTTCACAGGCGAAGTGGTTGATGACATTGTCCCCACAGAAAGGCAGCTTAATTGTCAAAGATGTGTGTACCATAGAAGCCGTACCACCAATAGCCCAGGAGCTGACAGCCATGGGCACATAGGTAGCCTTGCTCATGACCACAGGATACCTAAGCGGGTTACAGATGGCCACATAGCGATCAAATGCCATCATGCTCAGAAGCACACACTCTGTCCCTGCCATAGCAAAAGAGAGAAACATCTGCACAGCACAGGCTGAGAAGGAGATGGTTTTCCT